ATTATCATCATCATTGTTATTATTATTGTAATTGTCAATATTATCATTATTACTATTCTTATTATTATTGTAATTATTTTCTTATTGTTATCATCAATATTATTATTTTTTTTACTTTCTGATTCTTATTCTTATTAGCATTATCATTGTTATTATTACCATTATCATCATTACTTTAACTACTATTATCATGATTGTTATTATTGAATGATAAAACACTCTACCGTGTTGATACTATGATAGAAATACCCACAATGTAAAACTATGTAACATTCCTATTTTTATTCCTTTTATTATTAATATTATTATTATTGTTATTATATTAGTAGTAGTAGTAGTACTATTACTTTTGTTATCTTTATTACCATTATTATAGTTATTATTGTCATATGACAATTATTGTATTATTGTTATTGTTATTATTCTTTTTTTATTAATGTTATTGCGATTGCTGTTGCTATTATTGTCATTAGTATTATCATTACTATAACCTTCATTATTGTTGTCATTCTTATCATTATCATCATCACTGTTATTTTTGTCTTTTATTATCACAATTAATGCAATTACTATCATTATTGTTATCATTACTATTTATGTCGTTATTATTATTACTATCATTATTAGCATTGTTGTTTATATTTGTGCGTGGGCGAATGTGTGTGTAGATATGTATATAGATAGTGAATATTCCAAAGAAACATTTATAAAGTCAGTACGTACTTATACGTCAAATTACCAACAAATCTGTCATTATACAGATTATAGAAGGAAAAGTTGCTGTTAGTTTGATTTCTTTCGTAATCATTTATCAATAATCCTTTTCGTTGACGCTACGTGGATATTTGCACACACGTCACTACACGTATATTGTTGTCACTGTCTCGCAAAAAACGTACTCACCCACTTCGGTGTGTGCGTGTGTGTATATGCATATTTACTGTAAGCTCAAGAAGCCCCTGGAAAACGATGAAATAAGAAACCTGTAATATTTTATTATTTCGTTTATTTATCTTAGCATTATTACTTTTTTATCCTTTGTATTTACTTACTGTTTTACCATGAACGCCTTGCAAGACAGAACATCATGTCGCGTCGCCAGTCCACTCCCAGGAGCCGTCGCACAGCTCTGAATAGGCGTACACCTGCAAAAGCCCAAACGATTGATTCTAGTATACTATAGCGAGTTTCCTTTTGTACGTAAATCACAGATGAAAACACCAAGCATCTTTAATCTTATATATACAAATCGCCGAAAATAAGTACATCTGACGGAATGAAATGACTATGACTTCGTATACAGACCAGCGTTTATAAAGAAAAGTACCATCTCAAATATGTAAAGACAGGATCTGGTGCGTGTATGTGTATTGACAGAGAAACTCACGTATTCGCCATCGACGGCCATTCCAGCCGCTTCGCACAAGACCTCGCCAACAGTCGCGTTGGTGGAAGTGACGAAGTCCAAGTCGCCGCCTCCAGACAGCAGTTCGAACTCCTCGAAGCAGCGGTTCTGGCAAGGATGGCTCTGGTCGCAGCTGCATGTGTGGAGGATGTTATGTTATGGATGCATAACTACAGTACATATAGAACAAGGAACATACAGATCAACATGAAATCCAAGTAGCTATCAGATATTCAAAAGTACTTTGCACTTGAACAGAGGCAGTGAAAAGTAAAGTAAATTATAATAACAAAAATAAGAGCGATAATTAAACAGAGGAAGATACACAGGCCTACGCAAGATAATGCTAAAGTTCGTCCACTTCACTTGTGCACTTCCACAGGGGGAGGCGAGGACATTTTATCATCGACTACAAGTGATAATGAGTAAATAAGTAAATAAGAGGAAAATAAGGTAAATAATAGGTAGGTAGAACGGAATTATAATCATTATTTTTATATATTTAATAACATATATCTACTATCTGCTTATATGAAGACAGTAATCATATTCTCCAAAAGACTTTACCCATGCAAGTATCATTCAAAATTGCAAGTTCGAATTATCATTGGCCATTTTACTTGTAGAGAGTGAAGAAGACAAGCGGAATGGCAGTTTACTTGACGCAGCGAAGAGGAAAGCGAGCAAAACGAATCGAAGTATTTCGGAACCTGAAGAAAACAAAATATATAACTTTTGATTTTTTTTTTAATTGTCAGTATAACAACCATCATACATTTAAAATGTCTTCAAAAGAAAGAAAGAAAATGTGCATATAAAATTCTCTAAAGGTAAAAAGAAAGGCGTAAACAGTAGACACAAACGCGTGAAAATGGATCGTCGTGAATGGGGCGCAGGCGTGAGGGCTTCTTTGCCCTCTGCGTGGGAATGTTTGCATCCCGTAGCCATGGAGACAGATTGAGTGTTACGGAATCGAATCCGGGTTTCCTGAACCACTCGAAAGGGGCGAGTGTGATTTGTAAACCTAAAATTTTGATAAGCCTTATAGATTACTCGTGTGAGCCTACTTGCTCTGCGCACACGGTATGGTCAAAC